TAATTCATCACCGAGTAGAACTCTTCTTTTACTTGCTGACTTACTGAGTAATATTTATGGAAATAAACTTAGAAGAATATACTACTGTATGTTAAGTTAGCAGAATGCATGCTGCCTGCAGGCTATTGCAGTCATTCTTGCTGACATTATCCTCTTTCTATCAGATTGGCTATGTAGCTCCCAGTATTTTGTGTTAGAGTTTGCCTTACAAGAGGAGTTCTTGCTGAAATGAAGCTGGAAAACAGTAAGACATGATGTCAACGGAGGGACATCACCTCAAGCAGTGTCTGCTGCTCAGTTGGGGTTTTTTGTGCTAATGTCAGCGCATGTAATAAAATATTGTACTTACTGGTCTCAGGCAGCTGCAGCAGGAACTGGGGGTTCCCTCTAATGTTCAGTGAGTATGATTCCTCCCCCTAGAAATTACTGCACATCATTTGAGCATGTCTGCATAGCCTGGTTTTTAGGCTGTAGGTGTTGCCTACACTGCAGCTGAGAGGTGCGAATGCAGCATGCTGAGGGCTACCAGGCTAGCTTTAATCTAATTAGCTTGGCTAACAATATTAGTGAAGATGCGATAGAATAAGCTTCAGTAAATAAATGTATGCTGATGTGAAAGCCTGCTAGGAATCATCAGAACACCCCTGGGTGGCCAGCAACAACAATGAACAAATTTTAAAAACTCTTCCCAAGGGCTATTGAAGCAACAGCTTGGCAGTTGCTTCAAAGCCCCAAATCATCCACAGATAGTATAGAGTTTTCCCTGTAAAACTATTTTAAAATACTATATAAATTAACTGCTTGTCAAGATCAAATTTTAGCTGAAAAAATCTTTTCATTTCCTCCCTGTGGTTTCCCAGTCTTTACAGATTTGCTTGCATGGCTATTTTGACTACAGCCAAACCCTCTTTGTTATCTGGCTCCATCATAACCGTCACACCTGTCAGAGCAGGATTCTTCTGTCTTCTTACTGCTGCCTACATAGTCTCATTACTGGAAGCCTGAGTATCACCATTTGCATTATTGCATGGTAGAAGAGTAACACAAGGAGATGAAATCGGCTCTGAGTCCTGAGTTACCATGTGTTCTTTTGTGGAGAGGAGACAGCCCACTTGCTTTATGAGAAAAATCAGAAAATTAAGTCAGAAATAAAAAAGGTAGTTGGAAAACAAAAGCTGGTTATTGAACCAAAGGATATAGACCTTTAAACCCCACAGACAGTCATGAGAGGAAGTTGTAAATCTAAGTTAGGCAACAGTGAGGAAAAAGATTGATCATTATTTTCAAAATAAGAAAATATACTTTAGGGGAGTGAAAAAAGATTGTTGGAATGCAGGTACTTGCTCAATCTACAAGCTTCATCCTTCCTGTACTGCTTCATTTTATTTATCTGTGAATGAGCATTACTGGACAGGAGCATCACCCCTTGCTTTTGCTCTTGTATGGCTGAAAAACACCAGAAGTTCGCTGCCTCTGCAAAAGCAGCAGGACCCAGTGTCTCTCCAGTTACAACCCTTACACGCAGACCACTTTAACTGATATGGAAGATCTGCGCTGTGTACATGCCCAGACAGCGCTATACAAAATACCAGTGGATGTTACTACTGGGATGCACAGGGAATAGTGCGCACAGGCTCCTCCTCCACACACCAGGTTTTGTACGGAGTAACAGGCAGACAGTCATTGGCAAGGCTTAATGGATACTGGGAGGGAACCTCCATAGCCAGGGGATCCTTCAGATAAGACTATATTCTTCTTTCTTCTGTTTGAACTCACAGAGAGGCAGTCATGCTTCTTGGGCTTGTAGACAAACTCCTGGATGCTGTGATTTGCCCAGTCCCTTCATTTACAGTAATGGAGAGGTGCCTTGTGTTTAAACAAGGGATGGGAATTAAGAAGTCTCATTCTGAATCAGATTTTCTGCCTGACCTTGAACGCTCAATATCTCCTTGCTTGTTTTCTCATCTGTACCACAGGGATAATAATGTTTGTCGACCACACAGGGGGCTGTAAGGTTAAATTAATTAATGTTATAAAGCACTTTAATTCTCTCAGATAAAAGATTTTCTACAAGTATGAAGTAAAACTATCCATTATCTGCATTTTCTTCACTTTTTATTCAAACCTTATAAATTCTACTTCATCTTTTTCTTCAAAATCATTTGTCCTAATCATGTCATCTGGATGAAAAAGAAAAAATTGATAAAAGATAATGGTTGCACAGATATGAATCTTTTGAAAGACTGGTCTAAATTTCTTAATTTTAAGTGTACTTCCTCAAAACTAGCATGACTGTGGAACTTTCTGAACAATGTTTCTTCTCTTTGGTGACTTTCCATTGAGGTCTTTTCTTCTTTATATACTTTTTAAGGTATCCATTCACACAAATGGGCAAGAGTATGCACTTCTGTTCTTACAGTTTAACTTCCATTTCTTTGATTATATTTGCTGTTCATTCTGTTTTAATCCCATTCCTCTCTTTCTGACTTTTCTTCTATTTAGCAGACTTTTTTTCCCTTCACCCTTCAAGAATCCCAAATCCACCAATGAAGAATCATTTGTATAGACTGTCATTTCTATTTGCGATTTTACTTTTTTTTTCTTCAGTAAGCCAGGGCAGGCAGTGTGCTGTGCTGGATATCAGTACAGTTCACCTCAGGTACACTGAAACAATTTGATTTCACCTTATGTCATTTCTAGAATGTATTTTCTTTATTTCAGCAACGAGCCAGGACAGGAATTTGGCTAGATTTTGCCGTATTTCTGAAGAAGAGTGTAGCTAAGTGCTTCCAGAACATCTGATGCTACTATTGT